TCTTTGTAACCACTTTTTTTTTCTAGGCAAATTCAAAGATATTTTATAACTTAACACATCCTCCAAGAAAAATAACAATAAAGAATGAGTTCATCTTTCTATTATAGAAATCAGAGATGAACTATCATGAAATTAATTTATTAATTAGTCAATTAAATGTTTCTGAATTTTAATATTTATAAATTATATGTTATACACCATTCATTTCTCTATTTTTATTTATATGTATCTTAGTGTTTGTGTTCAAATTCTTTACCCATAGGATATTAATATGTAAGGCATATATTAAGAACTTCTAAAATTGACAAGTTATATTTATCAAATTACTTATAATATTAATGTAGCTGCAGACTATCTTACTTTTTTAACAAAATTAGTAAAATAATGTTGAAGTAGGATTTAGTTATTATTAGTGTGTGTATGTGTATGCATATAATTCTTCTAAATATGAATTGGTATATTTTTATTCTTGGGGAAAATAAAAATGGATGTGTCTTAGAAAGAGAAAAATGACCCATATTTTATGTCCTATAATATACTTGAGAGCTCTTTGCATCAACAGCATAATTTTTTTTAAGGTATAGGATTATAGATACACCAGAAATGAGGCAAGTCATCAGTACTAGTGTATCCTATTTCATATGTACATTTTTTAAATGTAGCTACAGCCTTGACAAGTATGGTTGGAGATTGTCGCACAAAGCCAAGGTCACTGGTCCCATTCCTGGTCAGGGCGCATGTCTGGGTTGTGGGCCCAGTGTCAGGTTGGAGCATATGCAAGCGGCGACTGACTGGTATTTCTTTCCCTCTCTCTCTCCCTCCTTTCCCTTCTCTCTAATAGTAAAAAATATAAATCTTTAAAAAATATATAGCTTCAATTTTACCATCAATATCTAAATAAAAGGCCAAAAGTGAATTAATAAAAACAGGACCTTTATTTTTTTCTCTCTTTTTTTATTGTTGTTCAAGTACAGTTGTCCCCATCTTCCCCGCACCACTCTGCCCTGCCCCACCCACCCATCTCCCACACTCAATTCTACCCCCAGTTTGGCTTTGCCCATGGGTCCATAATACATGTCCCTGGACCTTTTAATTAATCATTAATGATGACAAATATTGCCACTCACTTTAAAAGTGAAAACCAGAGAGAGAGGTATTTAGACTTAGGAAGAGAGTGAAGTCTTCTACTATTTTTTTGGAAAAACAGTTATAATCAGGCAGCTAGAATAAATTATCTCCATAAGGAAGTGTTGGAGAAGCCTATTCATTATACACATTGAATAAAATATTCTCTTTGTAATGTATTTAACATATAACACATATGACAATTAAGTTAAATGTTATATACATTACAAAGAGGATGATATATATATCCCATATATATGTTTGTTTATATATATATATATATATATATATATATATATATATATATATATATATAATGCACACATACACAAAGCCCTATATATGTAATTTTAGAGACCAGGAAATTCTATTTCAAAGTTGTCTCATCTACTAAATGGACCTAATAATAACATAAAAATTTGTTATGATCATTCACCCCGATCACAGTAGGATCTGTTTAGTCAACCCTCCTGGCCTTTCAACCTTTCTGCAAAAGTCTCAAATTAGGGAAAAATGGATAGAGTTCATAAGGAGGATGGGGGCATGAATCTCAGATCAGACTCACGCTGCTTTCAAAGTAGCAGGATGTGTGGGCAAAGATTTATTTTGCTAGCAAGGATATTTATTGCAAGAATAAGTTGTAGGTTGTAGTCTCAAAAATTGTATCCTTTGGGAAATAACAATGGCCAGTGTATATTGAAGACAGATGGATTTTTTAAGAGCTGAAGTAAGGAAATCTTTTAGTTGTATATTAAACTATTAGACCCTATTGAAAAAGTGGCCTCTTCTAGATCCTTAAAAATATGTTATATGTTTGCAATGCTATGAACAAATTCATTTGGTAAATATTTATTGACCTTCTAAGTTGTGGTAGGGTCTCAACAATAAAGTAGGCAAAGGCCTTCCTTCCAAGATTAATTGTCGAGTGGGGAGTCACTTAGAAAGTGTAGGTAGAAAAGGAGTATGATACAAAATTCTTGTTCTTTCCGAGAATTTCAACTAATTCCAGCTAATCTTACATCATTAAATTTTAATGGACTGTGATTAATCTTCTGGTGTTGAATATTTAGGTAGTTTCAAATTTTGGTATCTATAATAGAATTGAAATAGTTGAGTGAACATCAGTGTGCAATTATAAGACAGAATAGAATGGAGAAATTTTAAATTTTTTTTTGAAAAATGCTTTAGAAGACATAGAATGAAATGAAGTTAATAGTGATTCAAAACATGTAGCAGTGACTGAGAAAGATTTCTTACACAGGTTATTTTCTTAATCCAGTTGTCATAATGGCAAAGGTACTTTACATAAAATTGCTTTCAGCCAGTTTGTTTTTAGGTCCATATGAGGTGAAGATTAGAGGAAAATAGAGGATGATGACCAGCAGATAAGTAGGAGCCAGACTATGAGTCAATAAAAAAAATTGTGGTATTATCTTTTCTATTTGTGTACTTTAAAATAGTCCAAGGCAGTTCTTTTAGAGTAGATTAAGAATTATTAAAATAACTTGTTGTTTTTAAATTCTTTGAAAACTAGCCTAGGAAAACATATATTTCATGCATTTTCACAATTATAGGATATAAAGATATTATTTGATTAATGCAAGAATGTTCATGGTACCTAATAATATGTAAACTCTCTTCAAAATACAGATTTATTATTACCTATCTTAGTTGATGTAGAATAAGGAAAAACAAAAACCCAAATCATGTGGTGTTTTTTTTGGTCTAAAGTCCAAACAAAGCAAAAACAAAAACAAAAACCTGTCATTTGCATTCCAATTCTCAAGAATCAAATAATTTTGAAAGGCTGCTTTTCATATCCAGTAGAATCATTCTAACCCATTTTCTGATAGCAAATGACCTAACATTTTATAATCTGTAATAGGCTTGGTAATATCAGGTTATTTACATGGAGTTTTAAAAAACTAATATTGTAGATTCTCATATCGATAGCCATGGAAGATGTTTCCTTTTGCATTAATTAAATACATATATTTTGAGGCCTTACTTATGCAAAAAGATGAAGAATGTATTATTTTCTATTTTGTATATGTGTAAAAATTAAAAATCCCAAACATTTCATTTACCTTTAGCCTTCCTAAACTCTTTAGGAAAGTTTACCATGAATATAAGAAGTTATTATAAAAATTAGTAAACAAGAACAACTAAAAGAGAGAGAGAGACTCATAGATGGAGAGCAGATGACAGCTAGTGGGGTGAAGTTTAGGGGATGGAGAGACTGAGCAAAAAGGGAAAATGACTCATGGACATGGACAACAGTGTAGTGGTTTCTTGGAGGAGCAGGTATAAGGGACTGAATGGTAATGGAAAAATATAGTAAAGATTAAATTTAAAAAGAAGTGTATGTACACACATAACATTTATTAATTTATGTTGTTAGGGTTAGTTTTACTTAGTGATCATGGTAATCACAGCCAGGCAATACCCACTTTCCCTAGTGATTAATGTAGCAACATTTAGTTTTCAGAAGGTTATTTCCTTAATTTGACTAGCTAGGAAAAACTTGCCCTGTTGAAAAACAGGTATAAATGTCAAAACCTAAGATAAGAGAGTGATCTCATGCTGTTTGCCATGTATGTCTCCAGTGCTGAGAATTCAGCAGGTTAAACTCAGAGGACCGAGTAGGGCTATTTATCAGGAGTAAAGAACTAGAAAATTTTTAGTGTGATACAGACTTAAACTGAAAGACTGATAGGAAGCCTATTAATAGCAAAATATCTGTCAAACACTCTGAATATGTTGGGGCTGTGTGACAAACATGTAAAATCAAACTCTGGCACAGTAATTGCAGGTAATTTGTGAACTGTTTCTAATTTCCTTACTGTGTGAATAATGTCCCTACCCACGTGAAACAAGATTTGACTCTGTGTATCTCACTGAGGTTCTCACAGCTTGACATGGGCGACATTGTTTCAGTATTCTCTCTGGTGATCTTCCAATTTTCAGCTGGTCTTGAGTGAAAGGAAGGAAGATTTTGTTGTAAACTCTGAGCAATTCTTTCTGTTTGTTATGTTCTCTATGGTTGGATCTACTGTTAAGTTGTGGCAACTTTTACTAATTATGGATTAGGGATTGAATATTATGGTTCAAATACATGTTCAATCATTTCTTCTAGGTATGCCAAATAAAGTAAATCATAAACCTTTCAGAATATTGTGTTTCATGCTAGTTGACTCAATAATTGTTAAAGACTCCTAGGTACTGCAAAATTGTTAGAAGGCGTTACCAACTAATCAGGGTAAGAACTTCAAGACTCTAAACTGTACTATTAACATCATCAGTGAGAAAAGGAAAAGCAAAATAATAATTATAACAATTGGCTTCTTTTTTGTTTCTAAAGATCATGCTCATCTTATTAAGTGTTCTTAAGTGAAAAGTCAAAAAAGCATTTAACGTGCATATACTCATTCATCGTTAACATTTCTTTAACCTTATACGGTGGTGTTATTTGTGTTGATTTCCATTGTGTTGTTTCTTTGTTTACATCCTTGACAAAGCATGTCATTTTTTGTTTTACCTATCTGTATTTTGCTACTGCATGTCAAACTTTTTAAATGACTCAGTGAAAAAATGAATTCTTGTCATTTTAAATTTCACTCTAAATCTTGTGAACGATCTCTTTGTTCTCAAACACTGTTCCCCATCTTCAGTCTGTGTAGGAGCACGAAGGGGAAGTGAACAAAAAAATGACAAGAACTGTGAGGTACAGCTGGCTTTGTACCTGATCATTGGTTTCAGCTTGTTAAAGTTAAGCCTCAATAAGATATATGTATTTGTAAGTTGAATCCTTTGTGTTTCTTTTTTGTTTGCATGATATGATTTTGTTTTGTATTTTGTTTTTTTCCGCTCACCAGATGTTCCCATCACTTTGCTTCCCACTACTATCATCCCCTCCCTTACCACTGCAACAGTCACAGCCACTGTAGCCATAACCGCCAGCCCTACCACACCTGCAACCACCAGCAGCAGAAGAGGTATGGTACGCTTCTTTGTTATGGCCTGGAAAGCAAACTAAGTGGAACTTTAAAGGTGTTTTTCTTGAAGGGTAGAAAAATTGAGATCCGATTTTACTTAATCATAGGAAGTAATTAAGCCACCTAAATGACTATTAATTAAAGTGATTGGAATAGAATATGAGACAAATGTTATACTTTAATTTCAGTGCCACTTATAACTATTATGATAACATTCCAGAATATAGGTTAAAATTAGTTCCAAAATATAAGTTAAAAGTATTCTACAACACTGAGCAAATTTAAAAATGTGAACATGGACACTGTTTATTTGCGTTGTCTTTTAAATGCAAACAAAGAAGTTCAAAGATGCAGAGATAGCATCTGCTTTTATGAAAGCCTAGTTAAATGTTACCAAGTTGTTTATTTCTATGAGACCAGATTAAAATACTCAGTGTTGAATTTGTTCTAAAATGAGCATAATAAACGAATCATTAAAAACTGTATAAAAACATAGAATGTTTAAGTAAGTACTCAGTGTAGTACCCTTAAGTGATTTGCTGAGTGGACCCAGTGATTCTAACAGAATGTTCTAAAAACCAATGTTCTTGAGCTGCCCAGCATTATAGGAATTGATATCGGCTCCATGAGTATTTGCTGCTTATCAGTCTATTAATAAGCATTTTTGCCTCAAGAAAAATAATCTTGAAGAAATGACACAATTTTTTAAGGGCAAAACAAATATTTGCATAGGCTTCACAAATATAAAAGAGCATTCCTGAGTGGTCATTAGTGGTTAGTAGATGATGAAGAAATAAAAAGAGTTGTTTGAGTGCATTTTAGAAAAACACATTTTAAACTTTATTTCTGCGTAAGCAATGATCAGAGAAAATTTGTCGTATGTGAGCCTGTCCTTTTCTACTTCTTATATGTGTTTTGTGTCATGTTGGCCATACTAATGTGTATTAACAATTTAACTTAAAATCATGAAGACCTTACATCAATATATTCGTAATTAAAGTTCTACCATGGGAAGGCTTAGAAGTATTTTCCTTTACTTGTAAAGATTGTTCAATTACGCTCTTTTTCTTGAAATTTTTATTAGTTCTCAATATTGAGTTGCTAGCTTTCACTTCACAGTTGTTGTAGCATTTTTCTCTTGTTTCAAAAATCATATTTTCTAATTCTAATTTTTCATAATTATGTCAAATATGTTATAAAATGTACAAGATTGGGAGGTAAAGTTTGATGATAGTAAAAATAATTTTTCAAAGATACTGTTTTTATTTTAGTATTACTAAATAAATTATATTTGAGCTAAATCAACAAGTGAGAAAAGTTTAAAGGTATTTCTTATAACAATTTATGTAAAAGTGGGAGAAAAATAATAAAAATGAAGAAAAGTTAAATAATACTTTATGATATTATATGAAATGGAAAATGTCCAGAGTTCTACTTTGCTTTAATTTATTATTTTTGAAGATTTTTGCAGTAATTCAAATGAAATATAAATATTCCATACTAACAAAATCTCAGTTATAATATTACAGTGCAATTTTACTAACAAATCATTTTGATAGAAAATGAGGGAGGTATATTGATTTATTATTTTTATTTTAAGGACCTACTTATAGCCTATTAATCAGTTGTGCTTTCTTTCTTCAACAAATATTTATTGAGTACCTGATATATATATAGGATGATGCCAGCTCTTAAAATTATAGAAATTAAAGGCATTGCATCTTGATATGTAGTTACTGCATTTTAAGCAACCTGTTTAAGTAAAATTAATGTTACATATTTTCAAGTAAATTTTCTTATTTGTGGGTTTCCTAAGATATGTTGTGAATTTCATATCATGTACTTTAATGGTGCTAAGAGCATTCATCTCCCTCAAATGAACACACAAAGAAACAAGCTTCAGATGACACACATATGTGCACACAGCATTTGCTCTTTATTTTTAACCAAATAGTTGAAAGACAGTATTTTTCATGGGGCACCCATATGCATGGAAAGCAATGGACTTTGTAAGTTGGTCAATTCACAGTATCTATTTTATGTAGAAAAAATAGTCCCACTGATATTAAATATTAGCTTCATGCTTATTTTTCCTTTCTGTCTTCAACAGTTGGGGTCTGAGGGAAGTCACCAAGTTCACCTGCATGGTCAATTGTTCTAGTCCATAATTGAGGGAGTGGGAGATTCAGTCAGTACATAAGTATTATTATGAATTTTGTACTCTATCCCTTTTAAGCTACTATACAATATTTACAATATTTCCCTATTTGTGCATTACTTATTAAATTACAGCTTTCACATACAACTATACTTTAAATGGAATTAATTATAAATTAGTGAAAGGTATAAATTATGGTAAAATATATATCACAATAAGAATATGGTTTCCAAGAAAAGCTGAGAAGTAAAGAGTACTAAATATTTTCAGCTTGCTGATTCTTTAGAAAGATTATGTTCCATCACTTTCATTCACAGATATGAAGTAAACTATTTTATTACACTTAAATGAACCTTCTTCAAATTTTATAAATGATAACATTTATCTAGCTATCTAATTAATTACCACAAATAAATCACTGTTTGTATCTCCTTTGACACTATCACTAACCCTTTTGTTGCTGATTTTTCCAACTTAAGGTATGGTGAGCATCAGTGTAAAAAAATAAAAAGAATTACATACGTGGCTATATTATAAATCAAGATGAAATAGAGCAAAAGAAACTACTCAAATTGTCAGTCATAACCTTGAGAATCTGCACATCTGTTCAGTTTGTACATGAAATGTATCTCTGTTTGGAAGACAAGGATCTTCAAGCAAATGAGAGAAAAGCTAGCAATTAGCAATAGCTTGTTACAAATAAGATGTTAAAACACAGAGAAGTGAGCAAACTTGAATAGTCCTGGAAAAGATAGAAAGTAAGTGAACCCCGGAGGCATCTTTGAGTGTGAAGGTTTAGTTCATCTGTTGAGAAGGTCTTGGACAGGGAAACAAATGGAGCCTCTGCAATTTCATTAGGAAAATCAGAAACACTTAACAGAAGTACTTAATTCCCAGGGCATCTTGAAAATTGGATATTATGTAGAGTTCTGGACATATAATCAGCACTCAATACATGGCAGGATATTGCTCAGTTCTTTTTCACAGAATAGTTGTGTTTACTTGTAATTGGATCATACAGTGAATACAATGCTGCATTTTCCTATTGTAATTACAGTTTTAATTCTGCCAAATATTTTTGGTGTTGGTGTAGTGATTACTTACTAGTTTTAGATCTATGTTAATTGATTATATGAAAAAGTTAGACAGCAATTGTATTAGAGCATATGAAACTTTGTATCTATCTATATATCAGTCTATCTATTTATCCATCCATTCATTCATCCTTGAATTTAAAGTTTATAAACTCCCCATGTTATAGTATTCTTGATATATATTATATATCTCAAATATAAAACATTTTTGTTGATCTCAGATTGTCTTCAATACATAAAAGCATTGCTATAACACAATTTAATTTCTGCTTTTGGAAATTGCAGGGAGGGGTTCTTTTTCTTTCTTTTTTCTTTTTTTTTAGACTAGCAGCCTAATTAGCTCTATCATTCAATATGCAATAGAATATTTGTGTGTCTGTATACATATATATACACACATATGTTTTCTCTTATAAATGTTTTTATAGTATTATTAGGTCACTGTGATAAATTTTAATTAGTTAAATATGATAATTTATAAATTTGTTCCAAATGACCTGATGTCATTTGTGATGTTGATATTATTTTATCATGGTATGTTTTATTTGAAATACTTTTTTTATTTTTAATCATAGAAAATTTTAATTTTATAATTGCTATGTCATAATCTAGAAATCTTTAGCAGTATTCTCATTATATAGATGATATAAAGATATTGAAAATTTAGGAAACATTAGACATATTGACATATATCAATGTCTTAAGTTTTATTTTTTAAAGATTTTATTTATTTCTTTTTAAAGAGAGGAGAAGGGAGGAAATAAGGAAGAGAAGCATCACTGTGTGGTGGCCTTTTGCACATTCACACTTGGAGGCCAGCCCACAACCCATGCATGTGTCCTGACTGGGAATTGAACTAGCAACCCTTTGGTTTGCAGGCCAGCACTCAATGCACTGAGCCACACCAGTCAGGACTATTTATCACAGTTTTTTTAATTAGAATTTACAACTCTAAATTTATACTTATCAAAAGTGAATAACTAAACTGCTAGCTGCTATCTGTCTTTATCTCTGCAAGACTGCAAATGTCCTAAAAGAAATAGAGATGGAGTGAAGATATATCTCATATATCTCCTGTCCTAAAACTATTAGCATGTTCAAATATTTCATGCATTTCAATGTAACAAAAGGGGAAAAATTCTAGAAATGGTGATAAAATTATTTGTACAATCTATGTAAAAATACAAATTAATTATTTGTTCAAATATAGATTTGGTTTTACATCTATGACAGATGGAAAGGATAACTTTATATTAATAAAATCACATCATTTATGTAGTAATCTGTGGGGGCTCCACCTGCAGAGCTCCCCCAGCTGCTGTAGTTGAGAATAATTCTGTAAGACATGATCTGCTTGGGGAGGAAGGCTGACCAGTTTCTCAGAGGAGAGAGGCATTTTAGCCCCTCTCTCAATGGGCTTTTATTAAGTTTATCTTGCACAAGGATGCATATCAAAGAAAGGAGGTACGGTTTACAGATAACATTCCTGGGACTACCCAGATCTGTCCTTTTGAATCAGGGTCTGGTAGACAGGGTAAGGCCAATTGGCTTCGAAACCTTGGGAAACAAACTTATTTTGTGCTTGGACCCTTAGCATTTAAATTGAGGACTTTCTTACCAAAGCAGGTTTCATAATATTTTACACATTCTTTCTTAGGCCTGATCACCCCCCCTGCCAGGAACTGCGGGTTCCAGCACAGGGCTGTACCCTCTTCAGTATTATTTCAGGCCTGAATCAGGCAGGGGGA